GGTGCAGTTCCTCTGCGCGTTTAAAAGCCCCAGACCTTGCCCTCAACAAGAGGTCGTATTTAGCCTTTGTGGCCCCAATGTACTCTTGAATTGCGCCGGTCAGATTACCTGCGTGCTCAACGATTTGAATACGCCTCAATGTTTCATTCATTTGTGATGTTAGACGTGCATGGCGCATTTTCCCGGCCTCCTGCGCAATCACACGCCATCTGGCCTTCAAGAGATCCCATGCTGTCGGCGTAATTTGTGGCGTGCCTTCCAAAGACACATAGATATTCATACGCATTTCAGATACCGAAACTTCATCACTTAAAATTGATCAATCTTTTCGCCACAACTTGGAGCAATGCCTTCCCAGCTGGGCCTTCAAGGTTAACAGCAATGGCATGTGGTCGCTGAGCTTGCGTTGCCCAGGCGCTAATGAAATGACATCGCATGTCTCTAAATTTTCAACAAGCTCATTATGCATATACACTCTGTCAATTCTGCTCTGAGACGTACCCTGAACGCGCGTGGCTCCAAAGGTGTTCCCGTGAAGCGTTGCTCATGCATTCACCAGCTTCAACTCTCTACATATTTTCTGCAACTCTTTCGAATGGTATGTGCTTTGGCCTTGACTAGAGCTCGGACATCTTGAATTGAATCAAAAACACAGTTGAAATCACCTAACAACACGCATGGTGCTGAATTTAGCAGAAATGACCTGACACCTCTATCAAAGTAATTGGCAAGAGACCTATCCACGGGCGCGTAAAAGTTGGGGAATCGGATTTTCTGGTCGTTTATCCACATGTCCACGACAATAACACGGCTTTCTGCATCGAAGAGGCAATGCGCACACCCCGCCTGAACCTCGGATTGAGAAAAACGACACCGGTGCCACGCGAGTACGTCTGCGTTAAGGAGAAGAAGGCTTCAACCGAAAATCTAGTACGGGAGGTCATGATGTCGTGCCGCGTTCGAAAGTTGGTCTCTTGCAGAAAAAGCACGTCGACCCCGAGCGAGCGCACAAGGTTCATTATCTCCAGTTGTTTTACAAGATCTTTGAAACCACGAACATTGAAAGTCATGAAAGATAGCCTATCCATTTAAAATAAGTTTAGGGGGAAACGGGACAATCGTTTTTTTTCTCTTTTTATAACAGCGATGCGTAAGGAGATAGCACGGACTCTCCTGTGTCAATTGGCAGTGGATGAAGTCAACGTGATGATACTCGAAGGACTGGCGCTGAGATTTACTCACGCGCACAAATACAACGGACCCAGTAAGCAACACAAATAATAACAGGAATAGTACACGCAGCATGCAACGTAACTTACATGATACAATTACTATAACAGGGCATAGCCACCACAGCACAGCACCACACCTCACCCGCTTCAGGTGATGGACCTCGGTTTGGCGAATCCACTCGGGGCTTTTTGGATGTTCCGGAGGTGGTGACATTAATTCCACTGCTTGAACTACCAGGCTTGGTGCGGCGCTGAGAGTTTGTCGCTCTTGACAACTTGTCGGGAGAACACGTATTTTCAGGAGACAAAGATACCGATCGTGAGGCTTGCGAAAATCTGCCACTCCTTAAATTTCGTTATGGTGACTGGCTCCTACGATGTCTGGATGTCTTGTCGGACGCTTCTTTTTGGGCCTGTAAAGTGTGCGTGTAAGGCGTGTTAGGTTTCCTTGAAGACGTGGTCTTTATTTCTTTCGTGGGCGTCGTCTTCACGCTACCTTCCAGGCCCACAGGTGGCCGTTCATGGAGTTCGTCACTTGACTTGTTGCCTCAGAAGGTCGAAGCGATTTTCCCGGTCGGCCAGCGCTCCGAGATGCTTGGAACGCTGCCTATAACGGTGATGCGATCGAGGATTGTTCGTTTTCTGTGGTCTTGAGCTCCTCTGATGAAGACGTAGCAGACGCACTCGGCGTCTCCACAGCGTTGCTGGGATCCTGTGATGACGTTATGAGTGATGGCAACGCTGCGGTGTCCCCCGTCAGCACAGAAACGTCATTGTCACTCGTTGTGCATGATGACGTGGCATCAACGCCGCTGGCGTCTTTTGTCTTGGCGTCATAAAATTCTGTGTCAGTTGCGCTCTCTTCATCCCAATAATCTGAAATCTTCTGTGGCCATGGCTTGGTTTCGCGTTGCAAAACTTCCATGTGCCTGGTGGTTCCAATTTTGGTTGTTCTCTTCGAAGCACACTCTCCAAGTTCTGGGAATTCTTTCAGTGACTGTGAGGTGGTCTGCGCTGCGTCTGCGTATGACTTGGGACGGAAGCAATATTTCGCCGCGTGGTCGCCATTACAGCGCTTACACTTGGACACACAATCCTCAGACGTATGGTCGAAGGTGCCACATCGTTGACACAAGGGTGTTGTGCAAGTAGCCGCAACACGACCTTCTCTGCTGCAGCGTGCGCATACTCTGCGCATACCACGATACTCGAGCATCACGCGGTGACCTTGAATTGATAGGAAGTTAGGGGCGGGCTGGGCCATCTCTATTCGGACGATGCGGGTACCAGTGTACGTTGATTGATGCCTTTGCAAGGTAACAAATGTGAGACGCTTCACTTTCTCGTATGCCTGAAGAGCTGAAATAACTGCGTCATCTGACACGTATGGCGGGAGGCGGAACACACTGACTTGTACGCTTGGCGCCCCGACTGCTTCAACTTGTACCTTGTGACCTTGTAACTTGAATCCTTGGTTTACCATCAACTTGGTTGCTTGTGCAGCCAACCGAGCCGCAACTAGGAACTTCGAAGCTCCGAGGTGTTGCAGGAACAGCACCCCTTCACTCGCCATGACGTCTTCCAGGCCATCGATGATCTCATCGAAGGACGCCGTCCCCTCCGGGACGGTGAAGTCGAAGCAGTGCTCCTTGAGGGGGAGCGCCGCAGGCCTTGACGCCATCCTCGCTGGTCCCGGTAGGGGCCGACGACGATGGGATCAGGCCTCCAAAATACTGGCTGGCAAAGTCGCGAGTGGACACCCGGCCGCAACGCTGCCGGAACGCTGACCACGTTGAAGACTGAACGCCGAAGATCCTTATAGCGCCACCCGTTCGTCCCTCGTAGTAGTAGTAGTAATCATAGTGTGTAACCAGTCTTAGATTTTGACCTCAAAGGTGATGCAGGTGGGAGAATTCTTCTGTGCGTTGTTGAACAATAAAAAAATCTCTGCGTGCGTGTAAACAAAAAGCCAAATTCTCTTGTCTCTCATTACCCCTTAGCAGCCATTGGCATGTACATTGAGCATTATCTGACTAAAAATGGTTGCTATGGTATACTCGCTGGGTGTAACCTCCTTGATTTTAGAAAGGTTTAGCGAGCGTTGGGCCACAGTGCGATGAATACAGTGAACTAGTATATATCTAGGTGGTTAAAGGTGGGAGGTAGACACGAAGCGTAAGCCGTAAGAAAGTGTGCGTGTGCCTCCTCTCGTTCAGTCCTTAAAATGTCCGCTGGATGACGGTGCTTCCATATGAGGAATATATGATGAAAATATGCGAGATGGTAGTACTTGGAGTGTTGAATAGGTGGACAATCGGACACACAGACAGATGCATAGACGGACGCACGGATGGCTGCACGGACGGATGGACGCATGGATGGACGAGGAGCGGATGCATGGACAAACGCAGGGACGGACGCACAGGTGGACGTGCGGACACATGAACAGACCACGCACGGACGGGCGGATGGACGCACGGGCGGTAACACAGACGCACGCATGGACGGACGGATGCAAGAACGAATGGACGGATGGATGCTTTGCTCCACTCTCCATCATTCACTGCGTGGATATGCTGCCATTTTTTTTTTCAAGAGCTTGTTCGCCATGCTTCGGTGCTCGGGGCAAGTCCCTTGGCGTGACATAGGTTCTCCCGACCAGTTCCAAGCAAGCTCTTCCACCATCACTCACTTCATGGAGGTGGCGGGATTTTTTTATTGTACCATGTTTCTTTACATCTCAATATCTCGCTTCACAGTCGTGCTCTCGCTTTCTGCTTTTTTTCGACGCTTGCGATGAGATCTTGATTGGGCAGTGCACACTAAACAGCTTCACTGGCGTGAAACCGGAAGAAGTGCAACATACCATTGATTTCTATAGAGACTCGTCAATAGCAGTGAAGGGACAGCGTCCTCTCATTCCTACAAACAGCATCGCAGGCAGCGTCCACAGCAGAAGCTGAGCTTTTCCTGGGCCGATGCGCTGTTCTAATTGCCAGTCGGTCACGTGCACGTGGCATTACCTCTCATTAGCGATAGAGGGCTTTCGCGAACTTTTCCTGAGCGAGCGCTCCTTCTTATTGGCCTCTTAGTTGCTTCACTGTAACCAGCTACAACAACGTGAAGCACCGTCAGCCTTAGCCCATGAAGTGCTCGGGATGACCAGCACATCATTTCACCTCTTAATACTTTCCCTTTCAGAGGTCTTATGTCATTTTGCAAGGGAGCGAGCGATTTTTTGAGGTCAGGTTAGTCTATTAGCCGTCATAGAAGCTGCTCTCTAGACACTTTGAGGATTACAGCTGATAGAAACATCCATCATGATTGCATGCCAGGCAAGCGACATCCTGATGGTTCTTGAGAATTTGTCGCTGGAACGAGCACTTACGTAAATCTACTTCGCAGTACTAAACACTCTCCTAACACAATATAGACCATGAGCCAGTCATTATGCACAGTGAATTTATTTACATTTGCGGCCGTAACACTGTGGCAAGTTACGATCGGCAACAATGACTGCAAGTTGTGGAACAGTAAAATAAACAGGACCAGATTTACCGTCGCAATTTACTAATTCACGAAGCTAAAAATATATCTGGCATGAGACGTTTATTTAGGTGTTGATAATTGTGGTATCTCATTCAAACTCACTGCGAAGAAGATGTAGAAGAAGACTATTCTAGCTTGATTCCAGTTCTGTCCTACCAGGAGAAACAGCAACTGTGTCTACTTCACGCCTGGGGGCAAACTTTCTGGTCAAGTACTGGAATGACCATTGTGGAGTGCATCGGCTACTCACTGATAGCGTTCGGGCCATCGCTGGCTATCTTCTGGGTAGTCGTTGCTGGCCAGCCGAGCCGGCTCGTTGTGTTCCTCGTCTCCGCGTTCTTCTGGCTCCTGTCGCTGCTACTGTCATCTGTCGCCTGGTACATCATGCGAGAACTTTTCGATGCGATGTTCGTTGTTGGCTTGATCACGTTTGTGTGTCTCCAGGTACTTCACTTTGTTCAGTCACCCTCTTACAATCGAATGAAAATGTGAAGCTTCCACGATTTTAGGCCCACGCAGTATAGAAGTAGGTATAAGAAGTTAGAGAACACAGACTTCTCGGTGATCTTTCGAGACTGTTTGCTTACTCGCAACCGTTATGTATCGATATACAATAAAATACTGAGATCGCTATTGTCGACGTGAAAATTGGAGATGGTACGATTGTTCAAAACATTTGCGACTTGATTAAGTTGACGCGAATCTCACTTGGATGAGACTATGGAATTGCTCGTTTTGTTCAATGAAAAAAAAAACACATGCCCACTAATTTAATTCCCCCAACAAGACAGCATATCTCAGTGATATCAAATTTCCTGTCCAGCGCAAGCTTTTTTTATGTATTGCGAATCAATTCCTTAATTTTATCCTATTACCTAATTCTCTGCCGTTCTTGGCTGCTTTTCCTATCCTTTGTTACCGATTCCGCCACTCTAAATACCAGACATCTGCTTATCAAACGATCTGTCAGTCTATATTCAAAAATATGTGTTCATTGGAGTGATTCATGTCAAAAAAGAGCGGGTATCTTATCTACCATTAAAGGAAAGCAAGGTCGTCGGTGGGTCGCGGAGGGTTTTTCTAGAAGCTGCCAAGGGTACGCTCGAGTGGTGTGAGTCGTATAAACCTCTTTAATTTCCGAACAACACACTTCAGATAACCTATAGGACGCCTTAAAAGTATTTTCTTTTCACTAACCTCTCTAGACTAAATAGCCGACATAATAAGGCTGGCAATTGGGCAAGTTCGTTGCATTGTTCTTGACACTGTGGTATCGGGAGAATGGACGACATTTATTCGCAATGCGAGTGCCCGTCACACAGATGTCTAGTGTCTGACCATGCATCGCGATATACATGCCCGTTTCAAGATGTAGCTCAATTAGAAATACAAACATTATATCGTTCGACCTTATGAGTTTGACCTTTCATGTCGTGCGTTTCCTTCTAGTTTAATGCTATCCATGCTCATCACAATGTAATAATAAAAAATATCCTAAAATTAAAGAAGGAAAGAGATTGAAAACTGTCACACAGGTCTCCAACGATTCCGAAACACTGCATTTCTTAAAAGCCAGCCAATGTAAACGCTGAAAAGTAAAACTATTTTTACAGGAATTGTTCAGGTATCTGGCGTTTCGAACACTGCGTCAGGCCGAGAATGCGCTGGAAGTGGTTAATCTCGTCGGCAGTGAGCTCGACGTGGTTCTTTTCCGCTACCACTCTACGTACGCCTGCGTCTCCGGCCTTGGCTTTGGAGCTACCAGTGCAGCTACAGCGATGCTCAACGTCCTCGCTGACGTGGCCGATGGACCAGGTACGTCGAACTCATAAGCATGACAATACATGTATTGTCTTTATCCTAGCTATGTGTTATTATACACGCGAAGAAGTTGCCAGGAACATATGTATATTAGGGATAATTGTGAGTCACACAATGCCACTTATAGGTATCATGCCACGTATATTATATAGCTTGAGCACGTCCAACCTATCTTCCACGTAGACTGCATTCTCCCAGTACTGATACCTCGGGTAGCAGTGGTGGTCAGTGTATCGCGAATTCAGCACGCTTATTTTCTATGACGAGTTCACTCTTTTGTTGTTTCTGACAACCAAAAATGCTTATCGCCCTTTTCGTCGCACATCTCCGTCGCGTGGAGCAAAAAAAGCGCCCTTTTTCAGGTTGTTCGGCAGAAACTACTTCTGCATGATTCAGTCGGAGGCTGGACAAATTTCAATTTTGCACCTTAATCCCAATGAATCCTATGCCGTTTGCCTGAAATAATCTGGCCACACCAGCGCCTCCTGCCTGTCGCGCAACGACTTCATCGTACAAACAAGAAAACCCACGAGGTAAACACGAAGTGTGACACCTAACACCGCCCTAATAAAGCGAACAGAACAAACTTGTGCAACAGCTGATGAGTGCTCCTTTGCATTGGGGATCCATGACGGCGGCACTTCGAGCGTAGTCAGACTGACTGCTCGTAATACCGGCGAGAAAGTGTTAATATGCGTACAATAAATATTCCCTCCCCGTGGTATTCTGTCGATGCCGAGCCCTTTTGAGCCTCAAGGATAGCGATTTGCCAATGAGGATGATGAACGGTTGGACGTGTGTGTATATGTTCATGATGGTGAAGTGCTGCTAAGAATAGAGTCTTTAGAACAAGTGTCTGAAACTCACCTCAGCTAGCGGCCGACAACTCGCAAACTTTAGTCCCGTGAAGGTGGGAAGAAGATCAAAGAGGGAGGAGGGGGACACCAAGCATCTCCTAACGCGTCCTTTCATTTTCAAAAGCTGAGTTGTGCATAATTTCTGAGAAGGTTGTGGCATTAGGATTGAACTTACATATATCTTTTGCAAGAAGACTTCATTCAAGTCTGAACGAAGGGTCTGAAATGTCGAGATCTTGTTCAGCGAATATGTTTGAAAACATTCGACAAATGGTGAACGCATTGACTCCACCACACACAAAGGGGTGTTAAGACCAATCCCGCAACTGTGGCTTACCCAAACAGAACGTTATTGATCACATTAGGGTCTAAATAATGACCGTGCCATAGTAAAGACACTCTGTTGAATAGTGCTTGTCCGAAGGGAACACCACTTGACATTGAGAATTTTATGAAGATAACCACATTTAAATTTTTCTTACAAAAGGGGCTCAATTCTCGTTAGTATTTGTTTACTATATCGGACGGATAGAAACGCTAATGCCTGCTATCTCGAGTATTTTAAACGTGCGAATAAGTTATTACTCTGTTTTTTTTTTTGTGTCTACTGCGGACTAGCAGTCTGACTGAAGTATGTAAGGTTTGAGACCGTCAACGTTATGAGCCACTACACTGAAATATCATACAGTGGCTTCAAGAAACTTCTTCCCAAAGTGTATGTGATGCCGATTGAGGTTAATGTTAACAAGCTCTCCTATTTCGGCACTCCACTGCTTGCAACAAGAAGAAAATTCTATAGTGGATAACGTTTGAACTCATGCCAGTAAATTAAGATTTTGAATGATGGACGCCTTCGGGTGCTTTTAAGTACGACATTACTTTGCAGATATTTGCAAGACATATTTTAACAAGAAAAGGGTAAAAATCGGCCATTAAATTATTGTTTACGTTTGCATACTCTTCAAAGAGAAACTCTAGCAATTTTTTTATATTCACTGACTAGAATAAAACGTTAAACATGTGTTGTCGCTCGTACTGTGGTGATATGTGCCAAATTATGCAACCGTTAGTCATTTAGTTTTTTTATGAAACTAATTATAACAATTGGCAATCAATTCTGAAATCCCACTTGTAAAGGCGGGTCACCCTGTGTAAGTGACCTAAGTGCCTACCCTTTTTCAAAACCCTTTTTGCCCAGCAGACAGATGCCGCGCGTGCTTTCATCTACGAGGCGACAAGGACGCGAGTGCAGTTCAGTTTTCTTACACTCTAAGCCAAAAATGGCCAAAATGGGAGCAACGGCTGTTTTTACTCCTTCAGACCGACTGTTACTCTCCGAAAAGACCAAGCGGAACAAGATGGCCGACTTGTTCGAGAATGGGGGAGCAACTGTATTCATCTTAAGTTTGTAAGGGAGCAACGGAAGGAGGAACCGCTGTAAATGCTCTCGTCACGCAACGGTTACTCCCCGGCAAGACACCGCACACAAATATGCATGCCGCCCACATTGATATTCATGGGCCAGATTATTGTTTGTTCTGTGTGCCAAACTTCACCAAACCAAAACAGTGATTTATTTTAGCATCCGTAGATAATAAGATAGCAGCGCTGGCTGAACACAGAAGGCCTGAGAATACAGTACGGCAAATACCTAACACACGCAGCAGCAGAATGGAGAGTTGGCACGTCAAAGCGGACCGAACGCCGAAACACGTGCAAAACAACGATAAAAAAAGCCTAGACACGCCGTTCGTCCGCGAAGTAAGGGCGTCAAAGTCAATCAAGCACCGAAACACGTGCATAAGGAGCCCCCCCCCCCCCCCGCCCAGATATATCGGAGAAGAAAAAAAAAAAAGCGGACCCAGACGCGCTTTTCATCAGCCATACACTTAGTAGCACGCTTCACCGTGTAGTTTGAGGGCAGAATGACAAATCTGCGCCATCTGCGCCCGCACGACAAGTGTGGCGCTAGTGTAGCAAACGATGTAAGTTACAAAGTAATTTTTATTCAGTGTTTATGTTGACTAGCACTAAATAAAAATTACACTCAACTTTTTATATTTATTTATGAGTTTTAGTGTACCTCAGTTTTTTTTTATAATTGTATTAGGAGAACACACTGAAATTATTGCGCTGACGCCTGTGCTGCCACTGCTCGACGTTTTTTTTTTTTTTTCGGTGCAACTAGGTTCGCGTTCGCACTACTTACTCATTTTCATATGGTCTGTGGTTGGCGAGCACATGGACGTGCGGGCTTGTGAGCTATGTTTTGATCGTGTGTGTGTGTCGCAGATTTGCGTTTCTACTTATTCGTGATGAAGGTTAGTGTATATTTATCTTTATGGAGCGCGAAGTAGTTGTGGATTTTGCTGCTGGGTGGAACAAACACATCGTAAACACGTCTTCAGCTATCTGCAAGCCTGTTCGCTCGTCGGACAAAGGACTGTGCATGCATCAGCGTGCAGGTGAGTGGCATTTCCAGCAACATTCAATGCTCTTACAATACATTGTTGAATGGTTGCGCTATTGAAAGAGAAATGATTTGCTCTTATTCACCGTATCCATTGCTAGCCGTATCGGACTAAATTACCTCTATTACCGCCTGCATACCCTCTTGCTTCCCCTGTCACCACTGCAGTGCCAGTGTACTTTTGCAGTTAAAAGTTCATTTCCGCAACACTACCTCGCTTGAAAAAACATTGGGGCGGGGTTGTAGCTGCATTCATACTGGCACTTTTCTACCATTGGCTTTATGTAATGTTAACGGCTGAGTGTTGGGGCCTTGGGCCGCATTTTTTAGAGATGCAAAGTGTATGTAAATCAGTAAGTGAACAATTCATTGTCGCATCACTTCACTGGCATAGCCAGGCGGTTACGCACAGAATTTTTTTAGGCCGGGTGTAGGGAGCCCAAATTGACGACCATATTCGCTTGCCCGGCCTATTCAGATAAGCGGACCCCCCCCCCCCCCCCCTCCCCGCACGCCTAAAAAAAAAATCTGCCAACATCACTGCGTCACTTGCTTCACCTCTGCGCTGAACGTACTATTTTATAAGCGCACCATCAAGCGAGCAGTTTACATATTGACAGAACAATTGGAGGAGGAATGACCCAAATCTTTCAGATTTCTTTAGTGATGCAAAACCTTAGCAAAACTGAATATTGTAAAAGACAATCATAAATGCTATATGTTCTCGTTAGCGCTGTCATTATTCTGCATCATGAAATCTTTATGCGCTGTGAAAACTTGGCATGCCGTTGAAGTCGCATATCGACGTTAATACCAATCGACGAAAATTTCGACAACCTCAATAATGCCGTTTGGCATTTGCCGCATGCACATAATTAGGCTGATTCCCACTTGGCTGTTCTTAACCTGACTTCACTGCTACCAAATGAAACAATATTTGATGCATGTGTTTTACTTTTTTTTCAGGGATATGACACAAATTTGGTTATACTGCAGATAAAGATGCTCCCAACGATGCTAAAGTACAGAAAGCAAGTGAATTTTGGTAAGTGCAGACTTTTTGTACTACGTATATGAAAGCATCGCTTTTTAGGGGCAAACTGTGCATGTGTTGGCCAGAGATTAGTTCATTATGCCACATGGTTACACTGGCACTGACAATTCGACATGGCTCCGCTGGCCCGTGTGTGTGCTCACACTGTTACCGTTAAGATAAAATGTTTATGTTTTCATTGCAAGGATTGCTGTTTGTACTAAAAAGCCAACTGCCAAGATTTCTTTACGCTGGTACTCCTAAAAGTATGCTTTCCCTATTTACATGGATTTTGGCTTGCACAAAGCATAACACTTGGGCCTAGATTCACAAAGCTGTCCATGCGCAGGCCTTCATAACAGTGTTTCTTGACTTGCCTTTACCCTGTTTTCTGCAGATGTTTCGTGGGTTTAAAAGTGCCACAGCATGTTGACCTCCCCCACTCTGAAATATTCGCGTTCAAAGTTCCGCAAGAGTGGGCTTAACTTTCTTGTGCATCTCTTTGCTAGTCCAAGATACTGAAGTGTTATGCTCTTACTAGAGGTGGCAGTGTTTCTAATGTTTGTATTTCCATCACATTGACCAAGTATGCGATCTTGGCTTGACTGGTAGCACATCCTCAACAAATGTCTTTGTGGCACATGTAGAAGACAGTACAAAATAAATAGGCAGACATTCACACCAGGAGCTAACTTCTAATAATGCTTTTTTTTTTTGGAAACCATGGTGTGCGTATTCCAATTTGTCTAACAAGCAGTAACCTGTTTGGCTGTGAACCAACAAGACGTTGAACTAATAAAAGCTTCACATCTTGTTGCTCTCAAATATATATGTATTGGCAAGCTATCTGTGACACTGTCAAACAAAGAATCAGAATATCTGTGCATGCCTTAAGATATATTGCTTCGTTTACATATCTCGTGGCTGTGACTCGTCAACCGAGTGAACAAATGCACCCTAGTTTTCTAAATTTAAAGCATTTTTTGAAGGTAGCACGGTCTTCATTTATTTGTCTATAGTTTGTCCAGCCGTTTGCGTCAGGTACAAAGAAATATACTGAAGATTATCATGTAGCCTCTGCAAATGGTTGCTTTCAAGCAGGCTTTGCATGCTTGGCTTGTGCCTACAGGTATTGCACAATTCAAGACGCAGCAGCGTATGATAGAAAAGTAGAATCGAGAGCAACTATGTGCACGAGCTAAATAAGTATTTTAACATGAGCGGACAGTACGTGTTATTTGCCCCACACATGACCTCATTTAGAATGCCCATTGGTGAATGGGCTCATAGAAATGTCACTCAGCTGTGTATAGGAAACAAGTTAACTGAACCTAAGGGTATCTTTAGCTACTACAAATATGCCTTGTTGAGGTGCTGCACATTTTCTTCCAGAATATTGCTGTCTGAGACATCATGTGAAGAGCGTCTACCACATCAGCATTTATATGGCTTGCCAAGTAACGTTTGGCCGAGCCTTCCTTTTTTTCACATTTCGTTTTGCAGTAGACATCCTAGAATGTAAGCGCTGCTGCAGTGTGTGTGACTCATTGTTATGAATTGATTCTGGCATGTTTAACCTCACACTTCTATTTTTTTTCTTGCAGCAATGAGATGCTTCACATATGCCTGCGGTGACGTTCTGCTGCGCTAGCCTGATGGAAACACCAGCTGCGAAACTTGAGTTCTTCAGAATTGGAGAAGTTGCCCTTCTCTCACCAATGATGACACAGACTGCCCTATGCTAGAAATTCAAGATTGTTTTTCCACGGATGACGCAGAAAACCTTTGATGTATTATGGTGTTTGTTTAGTGCTGGCTGTGGTGTGGCGAAGTCTACTTTTACGTGTGGTCACACGTCGCCTCATAAAAAGAACAATAAAGCATTTATTTTCCTTTCAATATTGTCCACTTTTTGTGTTAGAAGCACCCAAGCAGTGCTCTTCCAAGGAGCTCTCGCCATGTGTTAAGCGTGTGACAAGCATACTCGAGATAAATACTCATTTCCCCAAGGAGTAACTGGAAGCATGTGCAGTTGGTTTTCAGAGAGTAACTGCGAACACGTGGGAGGAACGGTAAAGAGTAACTGTTGCTCTTAGAAGAGCAACTGGTGGGAGTAATGGTTGGTCGGCAGGGAGCAACTGGTGGGAGTAACTGTTGGTCTGCAGGGAGGAACTGGAGGGAGTAACTGTTCATCCCCCGAAGGAGGAACTGAAAGGAGAGCAACGGTTCCTCCCTCTGCAGTTACTCCTTTTAGGAGAGTAATGGGAGTGGCAATGCAATTGCTCCCTGAAAGGAGCAACCCCTATACCCCTGTTGCTCCGTTCTGGCTTAGAGTGTAGGTGCATAAAGCTTATTAGTAGTCCTTGGCGTCCGGTCTTGCATTCACAATATTCAGCAACGATGAGATTAATAAATCAAAAGGCGATGCTTCCGCAGTCAGACATCTTTCTTAGCACTGAAAGAAAAGCTATGGGGCCAAACCACGCACGTCCTACCGGCCGGAAAAGTAGTTACAAAGTAGCGCCCATATTTTCAACGTGAAGTATAAATGTTCCTCCTTTATTTTCTACATGGAGCTTTTTGAGACACAACGCCACACACACCTGTAAGATATTCGGATCTCTTTTAATTTAACTCTTGTGATTTCGCGTCTTTGAATGTGTGAAAAATTTCCGCCTTTTTACGTGCAGCTCAATCGCTAACCAGCGTCTGCGTCTACATGAACGCTGCTGGTGCGCTCCCGTCATTTTCCACAGCATTATACGAGACGCACGCCTAAACGACTACTTCGCGTAATGCTTTATTGGCAGAAGCTCCGCCTCTGTAGCTTTCAATTCATTGCCAAGAAAAGTTGTCGCCGACTATAATAGCTGCAATCATCGCGAAACTTTGTCCCTGGTAAGTCAAGACGAGCTGGCACAGTTTGATTCTGCGTTGGATGGCATCGCCGACTTGCTTTTCGCGTGTTATAAGAGGCATGTGGGCTATACGCCCTGACCAGCCGTGGCGGTGTGTAGTGTATTTCGTGACGTCATCCAATGCCCATCATGGAGGACGGAGCAGCTTCCTGCTTTGGTTTATGTTTTGACTAATTGTTTATTGCTTAATTAAAATTAATAATGAGCGTCTAGGCAAAATGAACACCACAGCTGTTGCAGGATTGTCAATACTATTTTAACCCGGTATAATCTCTGTAATCTCTACGAAAGAAATGTACAACAACCTCGGAAGAGAACAACCTTCGAGATAGATAATAGTGCACTTGAAGTTCACTTCACTTCACTTCACTTTATTCCCTTAAAGACCCCCTAGAGGGGGTATTACATAAGTGGTGGGAAACATATAACAAATGTAATACTTATGCAGGATGTGTACTACTTATGTAATACTTATGCAGGAAATGTAATACTTATGCAGGATGTGTAATACTTATATGGATGTGTACAAGTATGAACAGGGGTAACAGAAATAAAATAATACATGTGCAGGATCAGTATACATAATTAACAGGCGTAACACATTGCCAAAAAAAGAAGACAAAGTGAGAACAAGTGGCACAAAAAGGAACAATGTAATGTATTCAAATTGAAAAGGAACGAGTGACATTTTGTGTAAATGTTGAGTGGCACATTATGGTGGCGAGATCAGTGGAAAGGCCATTCCAGTCGGAAGCTGCACGAAAAAAGAAGGAGGCGGAAAATGTCGTGGTACGGGCGCGTGGCCGGCCAACATGAAAAGATGAGTGGTGCGGTGAGATGTGCGGGCAGAGGCAAGATATAGGGCGGGTGGCCGAGTTGACTGTGATATAGCTTGTGGAACAAAATGAGGCTGGAAACTCGATGACGAATGTTAAGGTTTGAAAGTTGTGAAAGACTATGTCTACTTAGGACAGGTAGTAACCGCGTAGCCGAACCATGAGACTGAAGTAACTAGAAGAATAAGAATTCGGTGGATCACATTCAACAAGCACTCTCAAATCATGGCAGATAGATTGCCACTATTCCTCAAGAGAAAGGTATATAACAGCTGCATCTTGCCAGTTCTTAGCTACGGAGCAGAAACCTGGTGACTTATATAGAGGGTTCCGCTTAAATTGAGGACGACACCGCGAGCAATGGAAAGGAAAATGGTAGGTGTAACCTGAAGAGACAAGAATAAAAGCAGAGTGTATTGGGGAACAAACCAGGCTTAAGGATATCATAGTTGAAATCAAGAAGAGGAAATGAACTTGGGCAGGGCATGTAGCACGTATACAGGATAACCGCTGTTCTTTAGGGTAACTAACAGGATTCCTAGAGAAGACAACCGGATTAGAGGAAGACAGAACGTTAGGTGGGCAGAAGAGATTATGCAGTATGCCGGTATATATTGGCAGCTGCAAGCACTGGATCGAGTTGACTGGTGGAACAAGAGAGAGGCCTTTGTCCTGCAAGGGACGTAGTCAGGCCGATGATGATATTGATGATGATGAATCTCTGTATGTTTTAAAATACATTGGAGTCCTCTTTCATGTTCCTAGAGGGTAGTACAAGACCATCGATACTTGGCAGTACACGTTGCTAAAGTGCAAAGGTAGGTGCTCAAGAATTAGATTCGTACAAACTCGCCCTAACTTCAGTTGCCTTGAGACTTAAGCTGTTTTAAATGCGAAGCACTTCTTAGCGAACTTCGGTGACTTTGAGCGTATCTATCTATCTTTTATCTATGGCCACCTAGTGTTCTGTGCCAGTGAACAGTGGGTCAGTTCTGTGCCGGTGAACGAGGAAGACGAAGACGAGCAACCCGTGCTAGCGGAGACGTCCTTCTTTGTCTCTGAGATTTTGGACAGTAGCGTCCCTTTGTACGTTCAATCGAGCTCTTAGCGCTTGACAACTGGTGGAGGTGCTGGGTAGCCTATGCACCGAACCTCTCCGAGTACAAGAAGCTCCAGCCCCATACCGGTGGTTACGCCTGTTCACCGTGCCAGCCGCAGGATCCGTGGACTGGACCTTGAGTTCGGACTTCTCTCCGAAGAGATGACGGCCCCAACTATTCCAGGCAGCGCCGTCCCAAGCAGCTCTAACACAGCCGGTATGGAAGGCGCAATGCCCTTGCAATATACACTGTTCACTGGCACAGAACACCAGGTCACTGCTGAAGCGCCTTTCCGCAGCGTCGACATCAATCCAACGCTTTCTGAAGCGAACAAGCAGCGTTTGAGCGAGCTGTTGCTGGAGTTCCACACATGTTTTGCACGTTCTTCAAAGATACGTCAAACACCGATAACGTAACACCGTATTATCACCTACGACGACGCGCATCCCATACGGCAGCAGCCTTACCGTGTTTCGCCAACCGAACGGCACGCGATTCAAACGCAAGTTAAGGAAATGCTTCAGAATGGCGTGATACAGCCTTCAAGCAGCCCTTGGTCGTCACCAGTAGTTCTTGTGAAAAAGAAAGATGGCACGCTTCGCTTTTGTGTCGACTACAGAAAGTTGAACAATGTCACAAAGAAAGACGTGTACCCGTTACCCAGAGTCGATAATTCTCTGGACAAGCTGCGACGCGCGAAGTATTTTTCGTCCATCGACTTGCAGAGCGGTCATTGGCAAATACAGGTCGATGAACGTGACCGTGAAAAGACCGCTTTTGTAACGCCGGATGGCCTTTACGAATTCAAAGTGCTCCCTTTCGGCCTTTGTTCCGCTCCAGCCACATTCCAGCGAATGATGGACACCGTCCGGGCAGACCTCAAGTGGAAAAGCTGTCTCGTCTACCTCGATGATGTCGTTGTGTTTTCAGAAACGTTTGACGAGCATCCTCGTCGCCTTCGGAATGTGCTCGAAGCCATTAGATCGGCCGATCTCACACTCAAGCCTGAGAAATGTCATTTTGGCTACGAAGAATTAAAGTTTCTTGGTCATGTCGTGAGCGCCGTTGGTGTTCGGCCTGATCTTGACAAAACTGCTGCCGTCACTGCTTTTCCACCTCCAACTGACAAGAAAAGTCTTCGACGATTTCTGGGTCTGTGCGCTTATTACCGGCGCTTTATTGAAAATTTCTCTAACATTGCGGAGCCACTATTACGCCTCACGCGTGATGACACACCATTTGTCTGGGCTGACGAACAGCAGACTGCCTTTGCGGAACTACAGAACCGGCTCTCTTCCCCTCCCGTGCTCGGCCACTTCGATGAAGATGCTGACACTGAAGTACGCATTGATGCCAGCAATATTCGTCTTGGAGCTATTTTGGTACAAAGACAAGATGGCATTGAACGGGTGATAGCCTACGCAAGTCGCACACTGTCTCGCGCAGAATCTAACTATTCCACATCAGAGAAAGAATGTCTCGCGGTCATTCGGGCAATCACAAAGTTTAGGCCATATCTCTATGGAAGACCATTTAAAGTGGTGACTGACCATCATGCTTTGTGCTGGTTGACCAATCTACGAGACCCTTCAGGAAGATTAGCACGATGGAGTCTGCGCCTTCGGGAGTTTGATGTCACCATCGTGTACAAGTCAGGCAAAAAGCACGAAGATGCCGACACGCTATCACGAGCACCTCTTCAATCCGCCAGTACTAGCGCAGAAGAGGACGGCGCCTTCGTGGCAACTGTCAGCGGACCGGATCTGATGTCGCATCAACGAAATGACGCCAATCTAAGAATGATTATAGATCATTTAGAAGGTGGCAATGCGCCCATTCCTCGTCCGATGTTGCGAACGTTGCCACCATTTTGCATACGAAATGGCGTCTTATACAAAAGGTGCTGGGCACAGATCGCCCGGTGCTGGGCACAGATCTCATCTTCTCGTCGCGCCTGATGCCCTCCGCAATTACGTCTTATTAGCTTGCCACGACGAGCCCACATCTGGCCATCTGGGCTACTCGAGAACTATGGATCGGGTGCGACAACTCTACTACTGGCCTAATATGTCTGCCTGTGTCAAACGCTACGTGAAGGGATGCCATGAATGCCAGCGTCGCAAGACACCACATTTAAAGCCTGCAGGCCATCTACAACCGATCGATGCACCACGTACACCGTTTGCACAAGTGGGGATGGACCTCCTAGGCCCGTTTCCTTTGTCTTCTTCTGGCAACAAATGAATTATTGTCGCAACCGATTATTTGACGCGTTACGCTGAGACGAAGGCGTCACCACGAGAGACCGCATCTAAAGTTGCCAGTTTTTTATGCATCAAATTGTGCTACGGCATGGCGCCCCGTCACATGTCATCACTGATCGAGGGACATCATTCACAGCGAAACTCTTGGATGATATCTTCAGGTTAAGTTACACAACCCATCGAAAGACCACTGCGTATCACCCTCAGAGTAATGGTTTAACAGAAAGGCTAAACAAAACGCTAGCTGACATTATCTCTATGTAGGTGGGTGTGCAGCGCAAAACGTGGGACGACATCCTGTCGTACGTAACATTTGCGTATAACACTGCAACGCAGGAATCTACACGCTTCACACCATTCCGGCTCGTTTATGGTCGAGATGTTAGAACTACGCTGGACGCCATGATTCTATAAGAGAACATCGACAAGCTCGACCAATTAGCCCCCGACATCAATGAGTACATTCAGCGCGCTGAGGAAGCACGTCAACTGGCCCGTGTGCACATCCGAACTCAACAGTGCGCAGATGCACGGCGGTACAACACCCACCATCGAGAAGGTAATTGTGAACCTGGTGACCAAGTTTGGGTTTGGACACCGATTAGGCGGCGAGGTCTCAGTGAGAAACTCTTGAGGAAGTACTTTGGATCTTACAAAGTAC